GTGCACACAGAATTTAAAGTAATGCATATTACTAACATGCTCATTGCAACGCAATAAATTTTTAAAACAGAACTAAAAATTAAGTAATTAAATACGACTCGCTAAACACAGTTTTCTACTAAATAATGCCCACACGTTGAAAGATATCGTAAAGTTGAATAATGCATTATCATTTAACTTGAGCCGCTTAGGTTGCTGGTGGAACATAGGGGTTCAGTTGCACGTCTCCATTTCACTCTCTTCTATACAGTCTTTTGAACTTCGCTCCACGACTGCCCACAAGCTTCCATTTCTTCTTCACACGATCTCTTCCGTGTCACCCTCACCTCGGACACCCAACTCATCGGTTCCTCTTTAGGTTCCACTCAACGGCCTTCAGTTCAGTTTCTGTTCTGGGTGTTCAACTTCAACTGTGGTCTATCATCACCAACTTCTGTGAAGGCTTTCAACTTGATTTTGTAGGTGTCTTCCTTGCACTAGATAGTGGTGTGAGTGATGTGAACCTACATTCGCTCCCCTTCTTGATCTAATCTTGTGTCCAGTAGGCTGACTGCTTCTCCACTTTCTTCACATTGAGATGAAGTCGATCTGATTTTCAGTGTAGTGTGTCCTGGTGTCTGGTGAAGTCAAATGCATGTCGCTTTCTGAATGTCCTTCAAAGTGTTTGTACACACTGCCTCCAGTCACCAAATCGTTGAGTGCGTAGAAGTCTGCAAACAGTTCTCCATTCTCATTCATCATTTCACCGAGTGCTTCTCGACTCATGATCACTTCTCTTCCTGCCTTGTCTTCTCCCAGTTTGGCATTCATGTCACCCTACCCATTACAATGAATTTTGATGTCGCCAACTGGGGTGTGGTCTTGTCCAGTGTTGACTTCAGTTGTCTGTAGAATTACTCCTTCTTCTCTTCATCTGCATCATTTGTAGGTGTGTAGCGTAACGTAGCGTTGTATGATTGTGACTTTCCTTCATTCCTTCGGAGTTGAATCTTTCTGTTATGATCCTGATCGTGGAGGAGGAGATTGGTTCCCACTGCATGAGAGAGAGCCTTTGATGGTGTTGGGGACATCATGATAGCCACTCCAAAACTCAGTGTGCTGATGGTTGTCGTCTGGGTGACAAAATCGGAGTAGATTATTGACTCCTCTTCAGTTGACAGTTTGGAGAGTCCACTCCATTCCATATGCAGATTCCTCGCAGATTCCTAACACATCTATGGCATACCTTCTCTTCTCCTCAGCAATATGGGTAGCCTTGGTAGGTTCAAACATAGCGTGGACATTCCGTGTCCTCATGTTTTCTTTCGCTTCCATCGAGGGAGAGAGGGAGAGAGAGAGAGAGAGAGAAGACATAGCGGCCAATCGGCCTCCCGAAGGCTGTCACCAACCGGTGTCATTTCGTCTCCCCGATTCCAGCGAGGAATAAGTATATTTTATGTTTTATATTCTCTTTGTGGTTTGAAGTTTGTTAAGCGGTTGGATTGGTTTTACGGTTTCTTCTTCATCTGGGCTTAGGACCGGTTAGTAGCTATTGCACTAGTAAACTGGGAATGCTTAAAGCTATGACATTTTGAAGGAAAGCTATCCTGACGAATAGATGTAAATTTTCAGTGAGTTGTGGAGATTTGGAATTATTTTAAGTGGTTATTCATCGTAGACTTACATCAGTTGGAGGAACAAAGGAACAAAAGGAGTCAAAGCCTGATCGCCATGAGGACAGATACTCAGCGATGACATTGGGTGGCGGTTGCGCTATATATCGTGAGCTAACAGTTTTAAAATATGGAGCATTGGATTCTGATCCAGTGGCTCAATGGTAACGCGCTGGACGCCGAATCCGAAGGGCGCGGGTTCGATCCCTGCTGGTGGGGTCGTGGGTGCGCACTGTTGAGGAGTCCCATGCTAGGACGAAACAGTGCTCCCAGGTTTCTATTGTCCCTCCAACTGTTGTCACTCTACGATGAATAACAACTTGGAATAGGTGTAACATGGAACCGGTAACCGTAGCAAGAACTTGTGAGATTTGCTTATTTAGACTCTGGACTTAGTTTTGTCTTAAAATGCTGAAAGCTAACTGGTTTCTATAGTGGTTATTGCTTTAGTCTTTTAAGTCAGTCTCCCTGACCTGCCAATGATGGGATGACTTTACAGGCCAACCTAGGAACTATTCAGATGACCAATTAAATTTCTTTATTTCATGAAAAACTACTCTGCAGGCCGAATATTGTAACCATTTTGGTTATTTTGACAGTTGCTAAGGCGGTTTTTAAAGTCACTGTTACAGATTCGGTTAATTTAAGTTTTAGCCTTAGTAACTAAAACGATTCGTGAAAATAGTGTGTATATCTAGCGTTCTGTGAAATAGTTGACGTGATTTACCAGCCGTTGAAATGAAGGCACTTCATTAGTATTTGATAGAAATGACTCATCAATTTTGATGACTTATTAAAGCAATACGAATGTCAGTCGTGTAACTTCGATTTTCAGATGAAAATTGTATTCACATGAAACTTTATGAACTCTTAAACTGTAGATAATTGGTTATCTAGAAATCGAAAGAGAAAAAGCAGAAAAATTACTACTTAGTGGTATTTAAGGTAATTTAAACTTAAATTATGGAAACGAATGCCATCACAGTGTATCTTATTTGACCAGAAAAGCCGAAACGTGTTAGATATTTTAAACCAATGAAATGAACCTCTTTAGTTTTATCAACCAGCCTAGAGGTAAGAAACATCATCACAAATCTCCCTCCTGAAAAAGATTATGTGCATCAATAACGAATGCAATGCATAAGTTATAAGTCTGACTGCAGTTCATCGGTCAAATAACTTAAAGAGTAGCGTCTTTATTTTGAAATCTAAATAAGATTACTTCACACACTGCACTGAAAATCAAATCAGATCGACTTCATCTCAATGTGAAGAAAGTGGAGAAGCAGTCAGCCTACTGGACACAAGATTAGATCAAGAAGGGGAGCGAATGTAGGTTCACATCACTCACACCACTATCTAGTGCAAGGAAGACACCTACAAAATCAAGTTGAAAGCCTTCACAGAAGTTGGTGATGATAGACCACAGTTGAAGTTGAACACCCAGAACAGAAACTGAACTGAAGGACGAAACTACAAGCAACATCTTCACGTCAGAGATGCTGTAGGAAACCTGCATAACCATGTTAGGAAGGAAGAAGAAGCAAGTCAAGACAATACAATGAATGGATCTCAACGGACACATGCAAGCTGATAGAGGTGGTGAAGCTGCTGATGGTGAAGCAGAAGACAGACCAGTGCAAGGGTGAACAACGAAAAGAGAAACTGAACACAACCTATATAACACTACACTGGACAAGTGAAGTGAAGTGAAGAAGAGTGCGCGCAAAGACAGAAGACACTTCTACGACACACTGGCAAGTGAAGTAGAACAGGATGCTGGTAGGAGAGACCTCACAACATTGTATCAAATAAACAGGTTACTATCTGGTAGGGAAGAGATCAACGCAGATGAGACAAATGAAAGATAGTTAAGGAACCTTAGTTACCGAAGAGGAGAAACAATGGAAACAATGGACTAGCCACTTCAAAAAACTCTTGAATCGACCACAAACAACACCGCCAGCACCACCAACACCTGCAACTCGTCCACAAATACCACCAGCAGTCCAGCCACAGAGTTTCCAGTGAACATCAGGCCTCCGACAAAAGCAGAAGTGAATTCCACAACGCCACGACACAAAGTTGCTGAAATCCGGGAAAGCAGCAGGACCACATGGAATTCCCCCAGAATCACTGAAAACAAACGCAGAGATAACAGCAGACACGCTCACACCACTATTGTAGAAGGTTTGCAAGGAAGGAAGGAATGTTACCTGCCGAGTGACATTTTTCCATCACCGATCATCTTCCTGATTGTGGTCAACTGGACTCGACTGGATCATGCAACAAACTGTGTGGAGGGAGAAGATGGGCATATGCTGTTCGACGGATGAAAAGACCCCAGAAGAAGATCTGGATTTCACCGATGGTCACTTATGTCTCATGTCTAATGTCGCACAAACTCGAAGATCTATAGGCAAAAACTAACAAGTTGACAGAAGGGGTAGGGCAGCAAAGACGGCATTTCCTTCAGGTGAGTGTAGAGAAGACAGAGGTGATGAAGATGATACCCAACCACCACCACCACCACCAACAACAACAACAATCACAAGCACCAATCACCATGAAAGGGAGAAACCTAAAGGAAGTAGTCTCTCACCTACACCTACCGAGGCAGGACAGCATCGTTTCAACTACAGGCGGCAGCGGTGGCGGCACAGATAAGGACATCAAAGCCAGGATCGGAAGGACACCAAGACAGGCCTTCATTAATTTGAAATCAGTGTTTAGATCTACTGCACTGCACTGCATTGCACTCAGCATAAAGCGTGAACAAGATCCGTATTTTCAACACTAATTCAGTCAAGTAAGTCAGTACTTCTATATGGTTGAGAAACTTGACGTGTCACGAAAAGCATTCCCAACACACTACACACATTCATCAACAGCTGCCACCTACACTCACTCGATACTGAAGATGGAGATCAGATGGCTAGAATTATAAGAATGAGCAAGAAGGAACTCACTCTGACTGCAAACGAACCAACGAAGCAACAACCTATCGTCCAACAAATATGCAGAAGAAGGAAGTGGGGAAGGATTGGATTGGGCATACACTGAGAAGACAGTTTGAGGACATCACGTGTCAGGCCATGTTAGGTCAGGCCGTTGAGTGGAACCTAAAGAGGAACCGATGAGTTGGGTGTCCGAGGTGAGGGTGACACGGAAGAGATCGTGTGAAGAAGAAATGGAAGCTTGTGGGCAGTCGTGGAGCGAAGTTCAAAAGACTGTATAGAAGAGAGTGAAATGGAGACGTGCAACTGAAGCCCTATGTTTCACTAGCAACCCAAAGGACAAGGAATAAATAATAGTGGTTTATATATATGTATATATCTATTTTCTTACTTCTACAGTCAGAAAGATCTGGATGAATCTCACCATAATAACGCATCAATCTTTCAAGTAGGACACGGTATTGTAATAATCGATGCATTGGCTTCAACAGGAATACGTAAAATGGTAAATAACAATATTTTTGTGCTTCGAAATTTTTTAATAACTTCTCTATTTCTGGTCGGTTTCTTATAAGCCTTTCAATATCAAGCATTATATTTGCTGCATGTATGAGGTAACAATGGTAGAGCTGTTGAAATCAAACCAAAAAAGGAACAAAGCTTAGTATATTAAAAAAAAAATCAAAGAATGTAGAGTTAATTCATAGTATTACTTAATATGTGAGATACAAATTAACTAAAGTTTTTCTGAATAATAAGCAGTTTGTTAAATGCATCAATTAAATTTGTTATGGCAGTAGTTCGAGGAAGTGAGAGCTGATTTGCTTGACTTAACCATACTTCCACTTTTCTCATTATATTGATGGGTATTTTTCTCAGATACTGATTGTGCTATTATCGAATTCCAGTGGCAATACTCATCATTAATCGAGGTGTAGCCTGGGCAGTCGTAGATAAAGCGAAGTGAATATCCTGACTTCTGTTACTAGTTATGACATACCAGTTATGGGACTAGCGGAATCTATAGGAATCCGAAAATGAATAGATAGTCTGTGATCGTGACTAGAATAAAAGAGGTAATTGGTTGGAATGATTTGGTAATTGCTGATATTGTCGACGTCGTTTAATGAAATTCGTGATCTGCCGATCCATCTTAATTTAATGGGCGAGAGTTGAAGATATGACCTCCATGCGTAAAGTGACTGATTAATCAGAATCTATAAAACAGGATACTCGTTCAGCAGCTCTATACGTGCTGAATGGCATGTAATGAGGAAATGTTACTTTGAGGGATCTTTTGGATGTCTGTGACAGTTAACTGGTAAGGCCTTTATCACACTACCCATGAAACGGACTGCATAGTCTCTAGCATCGAAAGCTGCAATTATCACATCCCATTCCATAAGAAATAGTCAGTGATTAGGAAGAAACCAGCAGCTGACTGTCCATAATAACTAGTTCTCTGATGAGTGGTCCGGATATCACATCCATGAGAGGTGATTCAGTTACAATCAGTTGAACTCATGTGTCGATACTTCAGATTTTAGCTGAAAACCGGTAGTCACTATTTTCATTCTGTACTTAAGGAAAAGAAGCGTCTGTCTATCTGTCTGACTAAAACGACGTACACTTAAAAGCAAGGTTACTGGTTTCTTCTCAGCCGGTTTGTATCGCTTCTTACACGAACATGATCATCATAAATGTCTAGCGAAAACGTTTAGACTTTCATTTAAGGTTCTTTTTTCTGAAGAAATGACCACATTCAAAGTGTGTTCCAAGTAACCTGTCACTTCGGGAGTTTAGGATACAGTTGTATCCGTTAACTGCTGAAGTTACAGGGGTGCTTCGGTTCTACTAAAACAATCTGTTATACACAATAATAATTAATAATTTTCTGCTATCGAAGTTAATTCGGTACAAAGTCGTGAGTTAGCATAGTCGGTTTTCTCAAAAAATATCATTGTTTAAGACAGTCAATGGATCGCGCAGGACAAAGAAAATGTTGATTCTATTCCAGAGTAACATGGAGGTCAGTAGAAAAATTCTAACACATATGCAAAGAAAAGTTTAGTTTCTGGAATAGGTGACAGCAGTCAAAACATTTTCTGGCCGTAAACATTGTATTTTATGACCAACCTTTGCCACTACTACTTATGGAAATGATCGCTTTCGCTGAACCCGTGGGTCGTTTTTGCACTAGCAGTAAGTAAAGACTTATGTTTTGGTAAGCTGATTCTGGTCAGGCTGGAAAACTTATCACACTGACACTTCAGTCAACTAAAGTACATCAAACTTGTCTAGACTCATGGTTAGGAAGATAACAAGTCCTCATAACAAGGTGCTATCGAAAAGTGGACCATAAATTTGTTTAGATAAATGAAATTAGACACGAAATATTTTCATGGTAATTTGAATAGTGTCTTCTTCCTAAACCTTGATGACATAAGATGAGGATGTGCTGCATATTCACTTATCTGGACTGTAAGGTATTTTTGTTCACCTGAAGGTGTCACTTAAAATGGTGCTAACAGAATTATAAACCTACTTGTTGATCTGGTATTAGACTTTACAGAGAGTTAACATCATGACCGAGGTGGATTTCTGTTGGGATGTTGTGATCTGTGATATATATGTATCCGACTAAACGAATCACATTGTTCGGTTTCATTTTACTTGTAGTCACAAGACCTTATACATTACTTGCCCTCACAATACTAACACAGCGACAGTCTTTTTTGAGAAATTCTGAGGCCTGAGCCTACGATGTGTACTATTGGTTGGTGTATTCTAGCATAATGCAGGCGATTTATATATATATATATATATATATATATATATATATATATATATATATATATCTTGATAAGAAACTATGTATCATATGTCATATTAGTATCCAAGTCATAGTTAAATTTTATAATATTGGTTGAAATATCATTGAGAAGTTGGTGAAATGGCAGGGGAAAGCCTATGTGGTGATGTAGGTACAACGGTGTTTGTAATCGGTAATAAATAAAAACAGTGTAACCATATATTAATCATCCCACAGTAAATTTGGAGAATGAAGCCATAAAAGCAGAAAATAATTACTGAATCAGTAGTTACGTGTGGTCAAAGTTATGAATACGGTGACTTGAAATAAATGATACTTCCGTTGCTTGTTATGTCTTTTTCACAAAGGTTGTAAATGGGAAATCAATTTATAACGGGCATTGCTAGAGTGACTAGTTCCTTGTAGTAAGATTCACTGTTTCAGTTTAACTACTTAATTATATATCAGTAGGTAAATAACCTCATTTAAAATACATAATGGGCGCTGAATCACATTACGTAAATGCGTGACCTTTTAGCAGGTCATAGTAATCGTGGCTAGAAATATTGTTTAAAATCTCCACCTCATAATATAAGACTGAGTTTGCCTCTACAGCCATAGAAGGATCAGTTGAGCGAAAGAAATTCTGTTCCCATGCTGTACAATGAGTGACTTTAAAAGTCACCCTAGCAACAACTGAAATAACCAATTAGTTTTTTACTTTATAAAAATCTGCTTTTCCAGCCAAAATGAAAGATCCTTATTTGTTGTTTTGATCGTTGCTAGTGTGGCCTTTAAAATCACCCTGTACAATCATACATCAAATCCTAAATTCTTAACCAATAACCTACTGTGTGTGTATGTGCGGGAGGCGGTGGGGAAAGAAGATAATATTGGCGCAACGTATCATAGTCACAAATCCATTACACTGATTGCTACAGTCCATTGTAACAACACTGTCTCTGTCCCTCACATTTGGTTAGAAGGACTTCGTTTGTTGAGCTATCAGTTCATTTTTTCCCTTTATTTAAAGATAAGCTATGACGCTAAGGCTAGGCAATCCTGAAGGTCAGATTCAAGTGTGGATTAACTTAACGTTTTGGGATACTTTTTGATCAGTGTAGGATTAGGATAAAATAAGTTACGAATTTATTAACACTTTTTGTCAGGAGAAAAATAATCACCAATCACTGTAGTAAGAGAATTAGTATGCTACTATTATTCTTCTTGCGTTATTTAGGTTCGTTAATGGGATAAATTGTACAAAAAACGACCAGTTTTGAATGTTTATCGCTTCTTGTGTATATATTTCTATTCTGCTGTCTATGTTAGTCTTTACTGGTAGAAAAAAATTGTTATTGAATGATGTTTGAAGTTGGGTGGCGAATAAATTCCGTTGACAGACATTAAAATTAAAATATTTGTGATCTGGTTGGAAGGTATACCATTTACTTGAGAAATTGAATCATAGTTTCGCTTTGACCGGTGAGAAGTGATTACGGAGTTGGTGGAAAGTGAAGTTTAGTATCTTCGCCGGCCAAGCTGTTTTTCTCATCCGCATGCATGTTGGGGAAAATTATAAATGCAGAACTGTACCCAGGTTCTATTTTATCCTGTAAGAAATAACAATTTTGGACTTGGTAGATTTATGAAAAATTCGGAATAAGTCTGGAACAGATGTTAGATGATTTGCATTGACTCAGTCACTTCAATATAATAATTTTTGAGAGCTTGATTTCTTATCTTGGTTGAGAAGTTCCTGAACCTTCTTATAAATTTGAAGTGAAAATGCTAAGAGGTAGTGGCAGGAAGATCAATATAGACACCATACTACACAGTATAGTTGTACACTAGTGGTGGCTACTAAACTTTACATTGGGATATGGGGAGGAAACGCCAATAACAGTCGAAGTAAAAGCAGTTGTCAGAAGCTTTAGAACATGAAAGCGAAATGAAGTGAGATGTGTTTTACAATATTTTGGGGACTCTGAAAAAATAAGGTGCGAATGTACGTGTGTGAACGATTTATTCCTAATTATATCGGGTTTAGTTATTAATAATCGATTTCACTTATTTCCATTTAGATGACATGATTCAGATGAATGGGGAGAAAATTTCATGTAAGTTCAAATACTCAATACGGCTTAATATATTCATCATTCTCCGATGGGTTAAAAGAAACTGAACTAACCGGTAAAATATGAAGACTGGCTACAAATAGATCACCAATACGATGTCCAGTTGATGAATTTACTGTTTTTGAATTCAGTGTCAAAGATTCCAAACCATTTGATTCTTTGTTATGGCCATTTTGAGACGACCAGTTAGAAAGACGATTTTCAAAATTATTCAACATTACACAATGTTCGGCATAAATTGGACTGAGAAGATCAACTAAATGCGATGTAAGGTCTTGAGACAGTTGAGGACTAATACTGATATCTGAACACAAGGGGTCATTTGTAATATCTCTAAAATGCTGAGAAAAATAAAGATAAAAATGAGTGGATGTATTAATTATTAGTTAAATTTTAAAATGACCACATTAAAACCACTTCGTTATAACATCAGATATTACTGACAAATTTACAAAACAGCATTGAGATGAATTCGGTAGTTTACACAAGAAATGTTAATGAATAATTGTTGGATGAAAAAAGTATGAAGTTAGTTTACACTTTTGAATCAGTAATTCATTCTTAAAAGTGTATTTTACATAAAGGGGTAAATTCAGTAAGTGATAAATAATGTTTGTGAGTTATTAGATAAATAATCGTCATCCTGTAATGAAAGATGCATAATCGTCTTATGAAAAAAGACAGTAACTATGAAAAAGTATGAAACAAAGTTATTTCTAAAGTATATTTCATTATGCAATTGAGTCTAATACATGGAATAATGACTTGCTTAAAAAGGGATTCAATTTAGTTGCACAAAGAAATCATATTTTAGGTCGGTAAACAAATTGTGTTTATCAATGACTGACTAATAGCTTTTCTCTAACTACTTCCATGTTTACGAGGGAGGAACAAAATTAGAAAATATGAATGCTTTTTTTTTACATCAAAGTATGCTTATCGTTTTTCATTTTTAGTAGTAGATCAAAATCTAAGAAAAATATTCAATCTTGTTAACGTGAGTTAAAAACTTCAGGACTTCTCAAACACATTTCATTCAGATTGTTATTTATTTTTCCGTGAAAAATAATATTTGAAATAGGAGAATAAAACATTCAAACAGTGTACTTCAGCTTGATACAGTTGCGTGATGAAAATTATTAACACTGGTAAATTTTGCTGAAGTAGTAAGTGGGACAAAAATGTAGGAAGATGTAAGCTACTTGTTAGGACTCCTTATGATGATCAAAGTTAATGGTTTGAGACTTCTGGTGGTATAGTTCTAGATCGGTTACTATACATCACATATATACACCTTTCGTCTTCTTCAATAGGTTGAATATCTTGTTAACCATCTGTTTACTACCTGTTCTGTCGTACACTTTTATCGACACTGATATCATTCTTTTTCGTTTTTTCTTTGAATGCAGCTGTGAAATGTAACGATTCGAATCAATGAGTGCTTTTTTCAGGTTTGACATGGATTTTTGTGTTCCTGTGGTACTTGTTAATCGTAATTGACTAGTTCAAGGAAGATGAATTTCATCTGAAATTCTGTGATGGAATTTCATACAAATATTATTAAGATAATGCAAACTGATGATTTCTTGATGTTCTTCAAGTTCTTAAGTTTGTTCACAGGTATTTCATCACTAGACTAACGAAATTCATCATGACTTGTTGCATAAAGAAGTTTCCTAGGCTGAAGACGAAAAGTTCAGAAACAATCTTCATAGCTCAAAGAAAAAACAGCAATTATCATCCTCATTCTGAGCTACGAAATCTTGTCTAAAACCTCATAATGTAGAGTTAACGAAACCCTGTGAAACTGAATCACTACCACACCTGAATATCTCTAGAAGAATATTTTTGTTGCTAATCTTTTTCCCTTAAATATGTATTTTGCAATGAAACTAATGAATAAATCAACTTCGGAATCATAATTTAATGTTTTATCTTCATCATAACTGGATTTATTACTGTAATATTTCTTCCGGATACTATTGAAGCATTTGGTTGGCTGATCATCTTTTCAGCTAGTTATCATTAAACGAGATTACAGAAACAGGCGTTTTAGTCTATTTTATGATTTTGCTGTATTATGTATAATTCATAGCTGTCTTTTTAATGATATGATTGGCTTTTCCCCACTGTTTCTTATTCTTAGAACAGGTTTAACTTTTTGCAGTGTTGTGAAATAAGTTTGAGCTTGAATCAAAAGCTTTAACAACAATAAATGAATACAAATAAACCATAAAAGCCCTCTCCACATAAATGGATCAAAACGCATTCATGTGCATGTTAACGTGGAACACTCAACAATTAATTTAACATGTTACTATTAGGTTTAAACTTATAGTAGTCTCCTTATTGACAATCTGTTCTCTCTTCCCAAAAGTTGATAAGTTTTGAGGTCATAAATTAATATTACTACTCGTTGATATACTTGTAATTCTCCGTTGTTTTACTGGATCGAATTGTTCTACCTCTATTAGTATATGGGTTCCCATGCGGATGACTTGATATTTCCTCAATATTTATTATGATAATATATTTGGTTGGGACTAGCAGAGGAATCCAGGACACGCGTATGTATTATAATACGTATATTATATATAACATATATGTATCTGTTATCATAGTAAATATTCAGGGACTATCGAGGGATCCTCATAGAAGCCCATAGGCTAACAGAGGTCGAACAATTCGATCCAGTAAAACAACGGAAAATTACAAGTAGATCGGCAGAGAATAATAACTGATACCCGCCATACAAGAGGCGGCTATCGTGCCTCAGCGGTCTAGTGGATAACTCCTTGGCGTTTGAAGCGACGGGTACGAGGTTCGAGTCCCGGTGGGGACAACATCACTCACTAGGGTGGAGGTATATCCAGCTAACGAGTCCCAGATAGGACGGGACACGCATCCTGGACTCCCCTACTAGGCACAGCCAAGTACATTATGACAAACTAATAGCCGAAACGTCCGGAGAGTGTTAGGAGTAACTATGCAAAGCTCGACTAACAACTGGTCCTCTTGGGTGCTTATGAAAATACTTTAAATCGAAAGAAATATTTCCTGGTAATTTTCAACACAAGATGACATCATATGGGGAAGCTCTGAAACCGGGAAAAGCAACAGAAAGTCATTTCATTATAGGTTATGACCGTTCATCAGTATGTAGCCATGACATTCCACATACCCAAGTAACTTCAACGTTAGTGACTACTTTGGGATCTAAAGGTCTCCTTTCCTAAACTCAGCCAATTCTTAGTACAGCGCAACAGTTACCCAATAACATCGTTTAAAATCAGTTCTCACTTTAAAACTGAAAGCCGCAGACCTGTAGTCTTGTTCGTTCGCCTTATTTTCTTGATTGTTTTACAGTACGTGTATAAACATGATGTATTATTGTAGGTGGTTTATTAAGTATCAGAAGGAATGAAAATCTGAAAGGTTATATTAGAATGACTGAATATAAAACACGGGGGTTTCGGTCAGTATTTTATGCAATAAAAAAGTATAATTAAGACGACATGTCCTCTATTCTTGATCGAATAAGACGTGACAGGATAATTGATATTTGTAAAAAATTTCTCTAAATTTACCAAGAACAACTCAACATCCATTTTAATAGAAAAATGTCACTCGGCAGGTAACATTCCTTCCTTCCATGCAAGCCTTCTACAATAGTGGTGTGAGTGTGTCCGCTGTTATCTCTGCGTTTGTTTTCAGTGATTCTGGAGGAATTCTATGTGGTCCTGCTGCTTTCCTGGATTTCAGCAACTTTATGTCGTGGCGTTCAGGAATTCACTTCTGCTTTTGTCGGAGGGCTGGTGTTCACTGGTAATTCTGTGGCTGGATTGCTGGTGGTATTTGTGGACGAGTTGCAGGTGTTGGTGGTGCTGGCGGTGTTGTTTGTGGTCGGTTCAGGAGTTTTTTGAAGTGGCCAGCCCATTGTTTCCATTGTTTCTCCTCTTCGGTAACTCAGTCTCCTTCACTATCTTTCATTTGTCTCATCTGCGTTGATCTCTTCCCTACCAGATAGTAACCTGTTTATTTGATATAATGTCAGGTCTCTCCTACCAGCATCCTGTTCTACTTCACTTGCCAGTGTGTCGTAGAAGTGTCTTCTGTCTTTGCGCACACTCTTCTTCACTTCACTTCACTTGTCCAGTGTAGTGTTATGTAGGTTGTGTTCAGTTCCTCTTTTCGTTGTTCACCCTTGCACTGGTCTGTCTTCTGCTTCACCATCAGCAGTTTCACCACCTCTATCAGCTTGCATGTGTCTGTTGAGATCCATTCATTGTATTGTCTTGACTTGCTTCTTCTTCCTTCCTAACATGGTTATGCAGATTTCCTACAACATCTCTGACGTGAAGATGTTGCTTGTAGTTTCGTCCTTCAGTTCAGTTTCTGTTCTGGGTGTTCAACTTCAACTGTGGTCTATCATCACCAACTTCTGTGAAGGCTTTCAACTTGATTTTGTAGGTGTCTTCCTTGCACTAGATAGTGGTGTGAGTGATGTGAACCTACATCTACTCCCCTTCTTGATCTAATCTTGTGTCCAGTAGGCTGACTGCTTCTCCACTTTCTTCACATTGAGATGAAGTCGATCTGATTTGATTTTCAGTGTAGTGTGTCCTGGTGTCTGGTGAAATCAAATGCATGTCGCCTTCTGAATGTCCTTCAAAGTGTTTGTACACACTGCCTCCAGTCAACAAATCGTTGAGTGCGTAGAAGTCTACAAACAGTTCTCCATTCTCATTCATCATTTCACCGAGTGCTTCTCAACTCATGATCACTTCTCTTCCTGCCTTGTCTTCTCCCAGTTTGGCATTCATGTCACCCTACCCATTACAATGAATTTTGATGTCGCCAACTGGGGTGGGGTCTTGTCCAGTGTTGACTGCAGTTGTCTGTAGAATTACTCCTTCTTCTCTTCATCTGCATCATTTGTAGGTGTGTAGCTTAACGTAGCATTGTATGATTGTGACTTTCCTTCATCCCTTCGTAGTTGAATCTTTCTGTTATGATCCTGATCGTGGAGGAGGAGATTGGTTCCCACTGCATGAGAGAGAGCCTTTGATGCTCTTCAAGGGGACATCATGATAGCCACTCCAAAACTCAGTGTGCTGATGGTTGTCGTCTGGATGGCAAAATCGGAGTAGATTATTGACTCCTCTCCAGTTGACAGTTTGGAGAGTCCACTCCATTCCATATGCAGATTCCTAACACATCTATGGCATGCCTTCTCATCTCCTCAGCAATCTGGGTAGCCTTGGTAGGTTCAAACATAGCGCGGACATCCCATGTCCCCATGTTTTCTTTCGCTTCCATCGAGAGAGAGAGAGAGAGAAGACATCGACCAATCGGCTTCCCGAAGGTTGTCACCAACCGGTGTCATTTCATCTCCCCGATTCCAGCGAGGAATAAGTATATTTTATGTTTTATATTTTCTTTGTGGTTTGAAGTTTGTTAAGCGGTTGGATTATTTTTACGGGGTAGGGTTGTTAGCCGTATGCCCAACATTTCTTCTTCATCCGGGCTTAGGACCGGCTGGTAACTAGTGAACTAGTTACGTGGGTGAGGTTCATCAGTATGTCTACCGAAATATAATTTCTGAATAAATTCTTTTTGATAAAGCGTACACATTTTGGGGTAGGAATGATGTTGACGCAAAAATATTAAGGAGGAATATAAATTCAACAGGTGATTAGTAATTAACATCTTTTGCCATGTTATTTTTGACACTTGAGTGGTCTTTCAGTATCCAGCTCTTGTGCAAATAAAGTGTCATTCGCAACTCGCACAGATGAAAACATCACCTTATCTGTCTGCGACTGTCATAGAATGACAAGATTTATTTTAGGAAACTTCATGGATGAGAAGATACTACCAATACCAGCCATCAAAATGATTTTAAAGTCAATCATTAAATGTCTGAAAATGTTAGCAATCATATTCGGTAATTGAACGTAATATGACTTACTACATTATTGTCAACAGTATTGAATTAATTTGCCATACAGGTAAACAAACAAATAGACAGTTCGACGTGAAATTTGGTATGAAAGTACATTGATTAAGCTTAACACACACCATAGGCCAAAAGAGATCATTAATAGATAAGGGAACATTTATGGGAGGTAGAAAAAGTGACGAGTGCTAATATTTCCAGTTGGTATATGAGAAGAGGAAAAAAGTGGAGTGACTGCGGTTAATCACATTTCATATAGTGTATGATCCTCTGAGTACGGCAAAGTTTTGTACCAAATGTATGTGTTCCTGAAAGTTTCAAATATATTATTTTGATCTGGAGTGCTCTTTTAGCTACCGTACTTATGAAAAAAGAGCAGTCAGACAGATAAGAAAAATCAGCGTAGATAAGTGTATTGGTTCAAATTGTCACAGTTCACAGTAGTATGCGAAGAACAAATGGATATCAAAGTAGACAGAGGTATGTGGGAGGAGATAGGATTTAAAAATTAAGGTTAGTCAAAACGTGCAAGCTCTCTTCCACCGTTCCTATTTAATTTCGTTAAAGGTGTACAAATGGACATAACATTAGGTACGTATGACTTCACAGGGACTGATATATTTCATGAAGGTCAACTGGTTGACTTGATGTATGCTGACGATACTATCCTGTTAGGTGAAGGTACTGAAAAAATATAGATAAGGTCTCCTGAACGCGTTGAGTAGAAATCTGAGTATTTTTGTCTGGGATGCGTTTCGCATCTATCAAATGTAAGTTGATGCTCTAGGACTACTGTGAAACTACTCCAAGTTTAATGACTGGGAGTGAAGTGGTGGAATGCGTGGCCCACCTCACTTACTTGGGGAGCCTCATCAACTCGAACAGGATGGTTGCTGGTGAAATCTCAGAAGGCCCGTTTGACATTTACCAACTTACGTCATCTGTGATGAGGTATCTGACTATGTGGTGAAGGATTAGTTTACTGCGCTAGTCTGTTCTGTCGTGTTATACGGCGGTAAGACACGGCGTTAAAAGTAGAAGACATGAAGTGGTCACAAGGTTCTAATCACGAGTTTTTGTTAGCACTGCTTGTACCTGTTGGAATCACCGTGTGAGCAATGTTGAGGTCATGGCAAGGGTACTAGGGAAGGAAGGCAAGTCTGCTGATGCGATTGTGAACCTTCACTAGCTGCGTAATTACCAATATTCGAAATGGTACTGTGACTTTGAAGGAATTATTTGTCAACTTTCTCCTCACATATCATATAGCTTTTTTCACTTCAATTAACTTCAAACTCAATTTTTTCATAAATTGAATGCCAAAATCACTATACTTGATGAAGTGAAGCTGACATCAAGCAACTATCAGACTCAAGGATCCTGTGTATGTTTTCTTAACTAATATATTTTAGCCTAAATACTGCTTGGTCGTCAAAGTAAAGAATAAGGAATAAGATTTAGATGTCTCATTCAGTATCTGAAGCAAAAGAAACTATATTAGTAGTGCTCAGATAAAGCAATTCATTTACGTCACATACAGTAGAGTATATTCAAATAAGTCTGTATAAATGGTTAATTTTCATGTGAAAAAAGAAACCTTTACCTAGTTAATTACAACAAATTGTGCGGAGAAATATAATATGATAATTGTTTCATACGTGGGTTAAATGACCGATCCATTTCATGTTTGTCAATACCTTGTTTCACTACTGAAAATGCATGATAGCTCATTGTGAGCCAAAATTGAAATATCTAGTGCTCTGTTTCTTAAAATGAGATTTTCATACTATCATTAATAATGGCAATGTTGGTAACCGATTTATAACAGTAACCAAATCAATTAGTCTTTGTATTACAGTTGAATGTTATTAAAATGAGCGACTGGTTATAAGTCAGGATAGTAGACTATCACTGACTTGATAATCATCTCACTCCCTCTTTATACTGTGATAAGCCTTTATAGGTCAAGAAGCATTTTATAGCCTTTATAAAACCGATGTATTTTATAAATTACAAAACAAACCTATAAGTGTTATCATTTTTTGACACTAGTAATTTTGCGTTGTTAAACTAGATCGACCCAATCGACCTCTGTCCGATGCGGATGCTTCGATATTGCCTGAACATTAATTGTTGTAGCTTAAGTGATGGTGGCTCGCAGCTCTCTTGTAGGTGGTCAAGTGGATAATGCATTGGTGTTAGAAGCGATGGGTTTGGGGTTTTAACCTCAGTGGAGATACTATTATTCACAGTGAAGTGCACGTGCATCCAGCTGACAAGTTCAGAATAGGATGAAACGCGCATCCTGAATTTCACCACTAGCATTAACCAGGTAAATCAGACCAAAATTTGGTTTTCCAATTGTAATTTAATTACTGTTAAATATGATATTTCAAGTTGTTCTTCATCGTAGACTGACATCAGTTGGGGGAACAAAGGAAACCTGGGAGCACTGGACAGCTGTTTCATCCTAGTATGGGACTCCTCAGCAGTGCGCACCCACGACCCCACCAGGGATCGAACCCGCGACCTTCAGGTTCCGCAGCCAGCGCGATGCCATTGAGCCACTTGGTCAGAACCCAATGCTTCATATTTTATAACGCGCTGGCTGCGGAACCTGAAGGTCGCGGGTTCGATCCCTGGTGGGGTCGTGGGTGCGCACTGCTGAGGAGTCCCATACTAGGATGAAACAGCTGTCCAGTGCTCCCAGGTTTCCTTTGTTCCTCCAACTGATGTCAGTCTACGATGAATAACAACCTGAAATATTTCCAAATCTCCACAACTCCTTCAAAGTTCAAATATGATATTGTGGAAAGTTTACTTGTTAAAGTTTTGCAACACTGAAAAGGAAATTTAATTCATTTTGAATCATTAGGAATAGGTTTTCCCGAAACTGGAATGAAATAAATGCATTCATCATTAAATATGATGAATATAATTTTAGCCGTCAAATAACAAGTATTTATAGCAACTAACATTCTGTATATTGAGTTATCATACTGAGATGGTTATGCATAATTTCAAATGCACATTACTCTTTAAAACGAAAATTTTTTTTACAGAAGAAAGTTAAAATGTTAGTTTGAACAGAATTACACAACTTACAGTACAAATTACACCTAGATTTCTTTTGTAGGTACGCTCAGTCATGACCAATTCACGAACTAAATGGTATGCCTCATCCAAATGATGTTTCGACTAGAAATAAAAAAATATATCGTTTATTAAACTGTTACTTTTGGCCATTGGATTTCGTTTTAATATGTAAAGATAGTAATCAGAGGTGAAAATATCACCCAGTTAGTGGCTGTACTCTGCACTGAACAAGTGTTCTATGCTCAATAGTTGGAATCGTGCTAAAAACCACATTTTCATTTGTTGCAAAAAGAGACGGCTTTTAAATATGTTTCATATTTTTCAGTATATACAGATGAAGATGAACCACATATTAGGCGTATTATAATGGATATATATGAAATTCATTTGAAAAATTTATCCCAGTGTTACGGAATACGCAATAATCAAAAAAATATATCATTGGAAAAATATATGCAAAAAGTAACTCTTTCGTTGGTAAGTGGCATCTCAGATATCTTATCCGAGTAAATCTCATGAAAAGATAAATGCTTTGGTGAAAAGGTTATCAAAGAAATGTGATTAAAAACTGAGGTTTAGTTGTTAATCGTTTCTGTCACACACTTTATCAGTATCTACGGTTATTTTCATCAATTAGGGGTGAAAAATTAATTTTTGAAATAAGTTTTAACCAGTCAAGTCAAAGCACACCAGAAAGAAATTATATAACAACATTCTTTGGACAGCCCCAAATTCATTGTTATATGAATTATTAGGTGATTATGACGAATGGACATTTGCCTGTCAGCAGTTGGATCTAGCGGTTCAGTTAGTAGGACTCGAGCGCGGTATTCCGGTCGAATTTCTGTCGGGATACAGACTCTCATTTCACATTCAATTAACACCCTATATCAGTTATAACGGAGAAAAAAAAGTTAAGTTAGATTTTTATTTATAGCCAATACATTCTAATGCACCTATTCGAAATAGGTTATTGCCTTTGGATACAAGGAGTTGCTCTTATTTATTCAATCTAATCTAGTAAGTACTGACAGTATCCTGAACGTTATACCGATTATGATGCATATTAATATTTCGAGACAACAATGGAACGATGAACATGAAGATACATGAAGTACAGAGAATTCATGTATATATTTCAAAAGATTTAGCGAGAAATTGTTCCGATTTCATGTAGAAGGATAATTAGCATGTGGAAGCGACTTATTCATTGTGTCAAGAGACACAATAATTTTAGTGAATCTTCTGACTAGTTCAACGGTTTGTTTAGTGATGACAATCAGTATCGCAAAGAAATGATGAAAATCCTACATACTGTTTCTCTCTTGGACCATTGTATTCATAGGTGAAGTAAACAAAGGAATAAATCTGTCGTCAGCTGATCAGATAGTATCACTTAACTACAATGTGTTCGAGAAAGAATCGCCCAATCGTTTTCAAGATTATAAAGATACTGTTTAGTAGTATGGGCACTAGAAGTGTTCATAAGATATTTAAACACATAGGATGAAGATTTCCGGTATTTTTAAAATACAAAGCATAAGATTAAGGTTGGTAATGAGTGACTAAATGTAGGGAAAAGAAGAAGGTAAGCTAAGTGTCAAGTGAAAGCAATGACAGATAATCATGTATTGGTCAATAAAACTGAAGAAAAATGTCATGATCGTGACAAAGGAGTGTACTGGATCTATTGGCTGTTTTAATCTGTAGCAGAGGGTTGGATTGATGAGTTATTAACATCTGTTTCATCGATGAGTTGGTATTCCACACGTTTTTAAGCTATCGAATTCAAATTTATCGATATATTTGGAAGTCGACTCTAATGACCACCCCTGAGGAGTCCCATACTAGGACGAAACAGCTGTCCAGTGCTCCCAGGTTTCCTTTGTTCCTCCAACTGATGTCAGTCTGCGATGAATAACAACTTGAAATATTTTCAAATCTCCACAACTCCCTCAAAAGATCACATATTAGTTGACAAAAACTTAACTGTTTGACTTGAAACATAATAAAACAGTTCGGTGTTGTGAGACTGAAAAAAACTAGCAGAAAATAACAATAACTTTATATCACCTAACCTTTTGGTTATACTTCATTAATTAGCTGACACTTCCGAGGTGGCTTTAAGAACCGCAGCATACTAACCCTAATTACGTTATTTCTAATGAAGAATTTTCAGATAATGGTGATTTTTTCGATTTTCAACTAGGGAATAAGGACATGTTCTTATCGAAAACCTCAAGAACAATAGACGAAATAAATATAGGACTAGAATATGCATTAAACTATCTTGTTGGAATTTGAAGCAGTGAAAGAAAACAACTACTAAGACACTTAATTGTGACCAATGAGTACGCTTTTATCATTTCTGTCATTTTACTACTTTCTGTGGGTACATCTCAGACTAGTGCATATCTTAACCGGGACAGTCATGTGTGCGTCTACTATTTATTGTCAGTTTATTATTATCAAAACAGTTGGTTTAATCACTTAGTCAAAAAAGATAAAAATATATGTAGGAAAGAAAAGGATTCTTCATGCATAAATTATATTTTGAACCTTATAAGTGTTAGATTTGTTTTCTGATTAGACAAACATTGGTGTCTATCTGTCCATCTATGGGTATAAGGTTACAATAACAAGAACGTATTTCCCTCATATTCATCTTTAACGTTAAATTTGTTTTATCTTATTTTACAGGATACCTTTTGAGTATTAAATGATTGGGAGAAATTTTTGATGAAAATCTCAGTCATAGGCTAGTTTATATTGAGTAGCTGATAACATTCCAGTGAAATTTCATTTCGACCTTAGTAATCTAGATGTTTTTGTCGGTCATTACATTATACATTCTTTTACAAACAAAATATTAAAGTCTCGCAGTCATAATGCTAAAGTAGTTGACCGCCAGTTAGAATGCTGATAATTCCATTTAAATGTCTTGATAAATCTCACTTATAGTTACGAATGCACTACTGGAGTTACCTCCATCAGTGAAAACGTAAATACAACCTGGTAGCCATATAAGGTTTTGATTATGATACCTATTACTTTATAGATCTCAGTGGGTAGATGGGTACCGGAGCTTATGGTCTTGTGATGTAAATTTCAAGTCCTTGATAAATGTTCCATATTCAGTGATGCAGTTGATTACTCTTGAAATAACAAAAGAGGAGAAGAATAAATGAAAATTCGTAACAGTGGCGTAGATGTATTCACTCTTTGACGTCTTATACAGGTTGGATATTTACACTAACCTTTATCTTCAAATTGTTTGTTCTCTTACACTACATGTAACATCACTTTTTCTATGCACTTATTTTTTGCATACTGTTGATATTGTGAAGTGTGCCAACTTGAACCAATGGACTTGTGTATCAGGTTCTAAGTTGATTTTGTCTGTATGATATTTAATATGAGGTGGTACCGAAATTCAGTTGTCTCACTGAGTTTCTATGATTAAAACTAAAAAAACAGGATATCCACAACATGTTTCAATAATTGTTTGTCTACAGGACATTCCATGAAAGAATTGCATTTATTAATGTGTCGGCGAAAAAACATTCAATAAACAAACTATTCTTAAACATCAGTTAGTTGATGAGAAAACTTGTATCTCTAATTGACGAAAATTACTTTCTAGGATTGAAGTGATGAATGCATTTTTTCTTCATACTTGTATTCAGAAGACTATTCCACCTTGTATTATCTACACACATCTTAATATTAAGACGTATTGAAATATGTATGAAATAGGCATAACAAACCAATTTGTTGTTTGTACTTAAATTTCCGTTGTAAGTTTCTATAAAATTAGCTTCAATATTGCATATCAATTCTGTCAAAACGCTGACAAGTTCAGAATCATTTAATCCTTTCGAAATGCATCCACGTAATCATACACTTAATGTCACACTAACAAAGGAGATTCATCACTAATTCTAATTAGTGGAAATGTTTTTCAGTGTCAAGAGCTTAAAATGTTTTGTATTGACTAAACACATGTGTGAATATAGAAAATACATTATTAATAATTGAGAGCTTCCAGTTTTGAATTTGTGGTGTATATAAGCCTTAGGTGTTAGGCGTAAAAACCTATTTAATCACTTCTGCTGAATGAAGATTATTTTGCTTCACTGGCTTGGAGGATAAACATTCTGATTGAGTTTTTGAGAATGTAACTCTTTAGGGTGAATGAATAAAACTCTCCACTCGAGCATTTCAAATTACAGCGCTCACACATATTGTTATAACAAAGCAAAATGAAAATTAAAGATCATTCAATCAGCATTTAAAGTGAATGAATAACTGAAGAATAGTGAGTCATTCTTTTGATTATCCTTTCCATCGAATGCATATTCACCACTATTTCTAGAAGCTTACAGCTGTTGGAAATGTTTATAGGTACTTGTGATATTCCGTTACTATAGTACATCGAGTTGCTTGACCTCTGTTAGCAGATAGGCACTTAGGCGGATGCTTCGATACCGCCTGGATATTCATTATATCGTTGTCTGTTTGATGGTAAGAAGTAGAATCCAGGACGCGGATTTCTTCTTATCTGGGAATTTCTAGTTAGTGGGTAATTTCCTTCGCACTTAGACTCAAACCCAGTACCGATCGTTTTAAACGCCAAAGCGTTATCCAATAGGCCACTGGAGAACGAGAATCACCACTTATGCAACAGATATCAGCTATTTTTTTTTATCGATACTTGTAATTTCCCGTCGCTATACTGGGTTGAACTGGTCTTGTACCCCAATGGCCTATTAGATAACTTTATGACGTTCAAAACGATGGCTACTGGGTTCGAGTATCAGTGGGAACAACATCACTTACTGGAGTGCAGGTACTTCCAACTAACGGGTCCCAAAAGGGATGAAACGCGCATTCTGGATTCCACTGTTAGCCACCAAATAAGCCGTTGGAAATATTTATCTGTCTGCCATAAGCCACTGAGCAGTGTGGCTGATATCTCTGATTACTATTTGTTACTGTATGCAATTATGTGTCTCCGTGCGTGTGATAGTCAACATAATGGTCCTTATTTCTTTTCGTCTTGATTTCAGCCTGTTTGTAAACTTTTTAAATTATGTTTCAAA